TGCAATTATATACTTTATTTAATTATAGTTTATTGTATTATGTATTATTTACTATATTTAGTATTTATTTTATTTATTATTTAAATAAAAGGTAATATTATATTATTTAATATATTTATTTATTCATATAATAAATGATAAAATAATATAGAATAATTTAATATATTTATTTATTAATATACATATTTAATAAATTATATAATACATTTATTTATTTAATAAATATTTAATTAATATATAAAAATGAATAATATATATATATAAATTATATAATAAATTACGTATAATTTTTTAATTACGAGTAGTATAAATTGAATAATATATATATCTATATATTTATAAAAAATAATACTTTATTATTAAATATAATATTGTATTTATATAATATATAAAAATAAATTATAGTATTGAATATATTTAGTTATTAATTTATATTTATTAATTATTTATTATATTTATTTATTTAGAAAATATATTTAGTTAATAATAAATTAATGATATGTATTATGTTTTTTATAACTATTAATAAATTCTAGATTTTTTTAAAAATAATTAATATATTCTGTATTTATTTCAATAATTATTTAATATATATATTTTGTTTTTTGATAAAACATTATTTGCTAGATACATAGTTAAATAATATATATATACATATATATATATATTTGGATAAAACTTATTTGATAGATATGTAAGTGAAGCCAAATATTTAACATAAGTTATGTTATGTCAAGTGGCTCATGAGCCACTTGTATGGCCTCTCCACGCGGGTTCGAACCCCCTCCTTCGCAAATTTTTTGTAATTATGCCACATATTCCACGTGGCTTACAACTCAACAAAAAAAAATCAGAATTCCACGTAGACTACCCAGTAAAAGTGACCTGCATTTGCCGGTGGCAGGATCATTTCTCACGATTTTTGGCACTTACGGGATGTTTTCTAAAAGTGGGTCACTTACAGGACTAAACCTCAAATAGGTACCAATTAAAGGACTAAATCTCTAATTTTTCCTTATCTTAGACTAATAGGGAATAAAAGTGTCCATGCCCGATAGGAACAGTAAACCCACTCAATCTAGAATTACAGTTATTCGCGTTCTGCAGTCAAAATAGATGTCATGGGTGTACTTTTGCCGAAAAATGCTTAGTTTCTGAAAAATTCGACGAAAATCGGTCGTCGCCACCGTCATCGAGCCTGGCCGCCTGCCGTTGCATCTCGCATGCCGCTTCCCTGGTCGCCGAGGTTGCTGCAGCCTGCCCCCAGACGTCGTCGATGTGTGCCACGCACACTCCGTCATCGCCTTGGTTCTATCTTCGTCGTGTAGGTGTAGCGCGTGTCTGGCGTGTCGTACACGTCTGGCATGACATTGTTAGACGTTGAGCCATGCGCCTCCGCTAGGTTGTCTGCGTGAAAATTTCACACGGCTCGCGTGCGTGCACGCCCGTCGTCTGTGCTTGTCGCGCACGTTGCGCGTGATCCCTGCGTCAACTGCTAATTTCTTGGTCTGCCAGCACACAGCCTGTGGTTGACCTCGTCATGGACATACCAGCCGATTCCATCCATTTGCACCATACACCAGCCAATACACACAACCACCACCATCTTGGCGATGCTCAGTCGCGTCGGTCGCTGGACAAAGTTTTCGATCGACGAGCATTAGTTTTGACGCAAGCCACTGTTCGCCAGCGCATGCGTGGTCCTCACACACCATGGCCCGGGATGTAGTGTTCCAGTCAGTCGTCTATCACCTTTGGCAAATTTCACTGTCTAGTCATTTTGTCTCGGCCACAGAGACTGGGTTGAGTCCTAGCCACTTAATGCATGCCCTAGAGCCACCATACATGCATTGGTTGTCGATACACCCAAGCCCTGTCGTTGAGACCCATAGTCGGTTTGCCTCGTCGAGAATCCTCTGGTCTCTGATTGTTAGTCATCTAGTAAGCCAGCGCAGTGAAAACTAACAATTGGATTCGAGACTTACTATTTTTTTTGTAACTCTGTACAGACATACATGGCATGCGAGGTTAGACGAATAGTTCTGAAATGTGTCCTCTAGCCCATGTTCATCGTCGTGCACTACCATTGTCAAGTCTCCGACTGTCGCCCTCCGATCACTGAGCTTCGCCTTTGGTCACATCACTGTCGTTGGAGTCACTAAGGAGAGCTTGGTCATTGATTTGTGTGCGTTGTGTGCTACGTTGTCGGGCGTAGCGCGTGCTACCTACACGGTCGTCGAGTGTCGTGTGTGCTTCCTACGCGGTCACCTGTAGGTGTTGTCTGTTGGTGCCGCATATGGTGGTCGATGTTGCCTCACCACGCCGGTGCGTGCCCACTGCCGTCGGTGGTCCTGCCGCATGTGGTGGTCGGCGGTGGTTGGGAACGCCAAGTTTGATGGTCATCGGATGTGCCGCAGGGACATATATATTCGACGGAACACGAGCATACGACTTTCGGATCTTCTGTTGTATGACCGATCACCTGCTCCGATTTGTCTTGGTGGGGGACTCGTCGAATCTCCCAAAGCCTCACAATTTTTCTCTCTTTAGACCTCAAGGTTTTATTCAAATTTTCTGAGAAGGGAAAACTAATTCTCACGTGTGTTATGCGTTTGGAATTTTTATTTTTTGGAAGCTAGAGGACTTGGTGTATTTATAGGATACTACAAGGACCCTAAGGAGGTGCTAAATATGGGCTTCCCAAGTATGAGTCTAACCGTGGGCCAAACCTACTCTGCTCATACTTGAATAATTCTTCATTCCACTAGAAAAATATTATTGCACTCCCCATTTAGCGCTCGAATTACATATAATTCGTCTCTTGGCTAATTACTCGATGTACTTCCCCATGATTATTGACAATATAACAAATCAACTTCTATATATGAAACTAGTAACACTCAAGACTTTATTGTTATGTCGGAAAGTAATCCGCCGGCCGGGCTTGACATAATAATCTTGTTTGAACTATTTTTGGGGACGTCATCAACCTGGCAAACCGAGACACAATGACTATAAACAATCTTAACGGCACATCATACAATCAACATCACTTATCAAAATACCGAGTCTATCGACCTAACATAATAGGTCTCACCTATGGTAAATCAAATAAGCAAGTGCTAAAAACATATGTTTATTTATTGTCTTACGGGTTTAAGAGAACATAATAATTACTGAGGTCTTAATTATTTACTTTGTCAGTATAAAATAATGTTTTCTTCCTGTAGGTGCGTTCAATACCTCCTAATGTACTAGTATATTTCGTTAGTCAAATATCAGCTGACTCGAAAATCAAACTATAGCCTTGCACGACAGTTGATTCAATTTTGTTTGGGCTTGTGAACAAATATTTATATTTTACAAGCACTGATAATATGATATCTCTGTTCGACTTATATTAAATCATATTATCTAAAATGTGCATAAATAAACTACGAATATTTACTTGATTAAAAACACGAACCTCATGTAATATGAAATTGTGAATAACACAAAGCCGCTCACAGTATACTAACATTTTTATCACTGGGCACGTGTTTATTTTCTATTTTTTTTTTCCATCTAGACTTCTTTATATTGTAGATTGATGATATTGATATTTGTATTTGCCGAAATGGGGGTTTTGATCTATCTTGTTATTTGGTTTTTTTTTTTTTT